TGCCTCTCGAGGTCCCTTCCGGTTCTAGGGTTCTACGACAAAGCCGCTGCAGCATTTCCAGGCTTTCCTAAGAGCTGCTGTGATTGCACCCGCTGCCTGGCTCCCTCTGGGCAGGGCTGGTCTCCGCCCTCCCTTCTCCACCGCTGGTCCCCAGCCGAATCCCTGGGCCACTCAAAAAGCAGCAGCATCGCTCGCAGGGGCATTAGTCCCTGCTTGGGCTCACGGCGAGCTGACAGACTGTTCTCTGGACACCCCAGGCTGTCAGGGCAGAGCAGAGGCTCCTCCGGAAACGCAGAGGGGCCCGGAGCGGCAGGGCAGGGCTGTTACACCCCGTTTGGAAGTTGGAAGAGGAATAGCTCAACATAAGAACGGCCGTACTGGGTCAGACCAAAGGTCCTTCTAGCCCAGTATCCTGTCTGCCGACAGTGGCCAAGGCCCAGTGCCCCAGAGGGAATGAACAGAATATGATCTGCCTCCCGTCACCCATTCACATCTCCTAACAAACAGGCTAGAAATCAATACTGCCTCACTTTCTTTGTGCTTGCAGAGGAAAATAAAGCCCTGGAGACTGATTTGTTTCACTTGGCTGAGGGATGCCACTACATCAAGTGCTGGGTTTCCCAAACTGTTTATAATAATTGCTAAGATGTTCAGTGTTTTAACTCCAGGGAACTCTATATGTAATAGGGAATTCATTATGCATTAAATAAATACATTGATTACAAAGAGGCTATTCATTGTAGAGTAAGCACACTCCTTCTTCCATAGATGATAAACCTCAACAAAATCAATCGGTATTTCATTAGCATGAGGAACAGTCATAATCAATTTTGATTGGTTGGCTGGATTTTCTTGATTTCACGCCAACGTCTATAGCCATTAAAATCATAGGCATTATTTTATCATAGTCTCATAACATACACAGAGTGGATTGTATTCAACTGGCTAATGTAGGTGTCCCTCTGCTGGACAGAATGAGAATGGCTGAACTTTGTGTCATAAGCCCTATATTGCAAATAGCTAATGAGATTCTTCTCTTGCTGAAGGGAGCTGGGGTCGGTCTCTGCTTTTGGAGCAGGAGGATCTGAGTTCCCTCCCAATTGTCTCTGTCAAGCTCTGAGTGGCCTCGGGATGCAGTATGGTGGGCTGAGGAGACCACATCTGTACACACACAGATGGACCTTTGACAGTACAAGGCACAGCTGTGTCACCCCAGCACACGCCTGTGCGTTCTCCCATCATGAGTCAGCCGCGCAGACACCCACACACCGTAACCTACGACTGTTCCAGCCAGCTCCTGGGGGCTCACCCAGGTGCCAGTGAAACCCTCGGGCTGCTGCAGTCAACACCGTTTTAGTTCCACCGCCCACGTACCGCGGCAGCTACCTGCCCACTAGCGAGCCAGTCTCCCGGCTGCCTGCCCCCCACGCGGCCCGGGGGGACCCACCATCAAGTCTGTCTCGATCTCTTCGTACAGCTCCGACAGCTTCTCTTCCCGCCCGTCCAGGGCCGTGCTCGCCTCGTGGTGACGCTGGTGCCAGTCGGCGAAGTAGTCCTTCTGCAGGCTCTTGTAGGCCACAACCAGCGTGCGCAAGCCTTCGCCGGCGAACTCCTGCCAGACCGGGGGGACGGGCGAGCTCAGGGCCGAGCGCTCCCCCCGCTTCACCCGCAGGGGTGCGACCGGGGAGCAGCCTCCGCCCGAACGACGCCCACCCAGCTTCCGCAAGGAGCCAGGGGAAAGCTCGCATCCGACCCCCACGCTCACTGGCAGCTGGGACCCAAAGCTGGGATGTGGGGACTGTGCTCGCCCTGTTACCTTGCATGGGATGTCTACTGCCCTGTGCTGTTCTGCAGTAAGCCCGGCAGTGTGCCTCAGTTTCCCTGGGCACTGCACCAGTGCCCGGCTGGGGATGGGAGTTGCAGGTGCGATTCTCACTAAGGGGAGGCTGCCCAGCCCAGCACGTACTCAAGGACCCAGGCGTCCCGTAACCCGAGCCTGGGCAGGGGCCAGGACGGTGGACAAAGGGGAGGCAGGGCTGGGGCCGGGTGCTGGGTGTGTGGGCTTAGGATACAGGAGCCCTGGCTCCAAACTCCCCTCTCCCCGCAGGCTGGGCTGCCCTGGCTGCTCCTGGGCTTTGCTAGGCTGGGTCCCTGAGTGCCGAGATTCCGGCTGTGCACCCGGCCGGCTGGG